CTTGATTGTTGGAAATTCCCATTTTAAATCCGTGCGTGGTGTTCGAGCGGCAGCCTTACTGGGCTGTAAATATTGTGGCACACTTTTCAATCTTGACTTGAAGAGAGACGTCTGTGAGGTGTTGTGAATGTGTAACATGTTGTGCTGTTGGACACAACTTACAAACTTAAAGTATGAACGACCGGTTGTGTCCATCCAAACACGCCGTCTGTCCACCATTTCGTGGTTAACTCAGTCCATGAAGTCACAGCCTAATTTAATCTTGTTTAAGCCCGGTGTAAATGAGGAAAACGACCTTACAGGTGGCATCAAAACGCCAAACTCATCTTAAATTTGACTGTTTGGGCGCAGGGAAAAGGACTATAAAGTATCAACAAGTGTAGCAAGCAGTGACAATGTTGCACGTCTGTTTTCGACTTCAGACTCTCCGCACCAACAGACATTTCCGCCTTGGTCGGACACACGATGCCCCACACAACGGACGGGTCTCGTTGCTACTTAATGACGTCATTAGATTTTGTACGAATTGGACAAGCAAGATTGGTGTTAGTAACGCGTGAGGATCTGGCTAGATTTCGACTCTTATTTATTTCACTCTTATTTATTCACACTTATTTCTCAACGATCGAAATGACAATCTGTTTAAACAAATACATCTTGTGGTTTGATTCAATTTAATTTTGCTTCAAGTCATACGATCAGTGTTTAAAACAAAACGTTCGGATGTGGTCAATCAAACCAGTAACACATTTCACCATGACATTGCCAGACTCCATATCGTCCAACCGTTACAGCCAAACTGGTGATCTCCTTGCTCCAACCGTTTTCCTGATCTTGTGGTCTTGGATTTTTTTTCCTGTGACATCCAATGATTTCAACGTCAAATATTTGGTCGCATTAATGATATAAAAAAACAAGCCTTTTTGGAAACTTGGTACTGGCAGCAAAGTTCATCTGTCTTTCTTCAAATTTTTGGTGCATCAAGGTCAACTGATCACCGCTCAGTATCGATCCATTTAAACATCTCGCGATGTCCCTTTTGGTGAAATGCCTGCTTCATTGTTGAAGTTTACACTTCGCAGACGCGTTTGCGCGTCACGTGGTCAAGTCTAAAATCCCTTGATCCCTTCTAAAGCGATTTTAAAATTTCCAGCTTGTGAACGTTGCAAAAGGATGCATTTGATACTAGCGCGAATACACTAACCACTTGCATGAAAACACGGAGCGAATTCACACGTGGTGTTGGGAGCGTGGCTCTACCACGCACAAATCCGCACATTTTTAAAAACGTAACACCTTCAGAAGGGCTTCATGGTTCACATTTTGGGCATGGTATCCACAACTAGGCTTTTTGCTGCATTTCCGAAGCAAGGTGGCGTGACCTTGACGTGACTGCGCCTCTCCGATTAGCTTGTAAATGAAGCTTAGACGTGACAGATAAGACAGATTGGCACGCAAATAATCCAACTCCTGACAATAACAATAGTAAAAATGAGAAAGCGTAATAGAGCAAGCTTGATCAGTGCTTTTGAGAACTAAAGAAACCGATTCAAATATTGATTTGTTGCACTGACAATATCGCAACACTAGTTGAATTGTCTCCCTATTTACGCATAAATTCGTGTTTTAAGGGCCGAGGTGGGTACTCATTATATCGATCAAGTTCGGGCCTCACCGTGTCCATGCAGCAAACTTCTCGAAATGATGCTATTTGTGCTTACGTCTGGCATATTCTGACCTGGCAATCGATCAATAAGTTGTCGCAATTGGTTCATACAAAGCACCATTTTACTACTTAGATATTGTTTTGCCGTTACTCTATATTGCCGAAACTCACACTAAGGTCCAAATTTCGCTTCTTTTAACGGGTTAGAGTAAGGCTGAATTGCTGACACACCATTCGCGACATTTCTCATCACGGATTTAAGCACAAAAATTTACTTAGTTTTGGTTCAATAGTGCGCATGCTTAAGAGCATCAACTCAGTTGCAAAATTAAAACAACGAATTATTCGTCGCGCTGATCTAAATTCGGCTCCAGAATAACTGAAAAGAATTCACTTTGGCCGCCTTTCTACCGTTTATGTTTCATCCTTACCATTAAATATGCATCGGACTTAAGTCAGATGGCCGGTGACGCAAATAAAAGATTTAAACAAGATTGTAATTGGAGGTTAAATGCAATCCTGGTTTCTCTAGTCGACACATTCGTATGCATCGTTAACTGAAGCATGTGGAAGCACTGAAATTTTCTCTAACCCTCCTGGGATTAGCACTAACGGTCTTTGCAGTGACACATCAGACACCGTTCTGTCTGGTATAAGTTAAAGGATATTGCTGTTTCCAATTCCGATATTCTTGAGCACCATAGCAACGAATTGACTTAGCATATGCCATTATGGATGGATGCATTGTTCCTGACTAACTGCGAATTCCGCAGAATGATTATGCTCATACGACCCATGCTGTACAAATTTAAACTAACGGACATGGGTTTTTCTGTGTGTTTCCTTTCAAGCACACTGCTGACATGTGGTCATCTCAATCACTCAGTCAACCTGGGTTATCCTCATCGATGAAATTTGATTGGTAGCTCCTCGTCCAATAGGAACGCTCAAACCACTTTCGAGGCCTATTTATTTGACCTGAGTTCACACAATGAATTGTTTCAATTAACCTATTTAGCATAAATTTAATCAGGCCAGTTTCGCGAATAGGTAATATCGGGCGTGCGCCCCAGCAACGAATTCTAAATTTTAAATACCCAAATAAGTAGCCAAGTAAAGACGTCGTCTGTCTGCATTTGTTCGTAAGCGGATCTGTACAAATACACGATAGGAAGTTAAGGTATAAAAAAAATAATAACATTCTGAATGTGCGCTTGACCTAAGCGGCGGTGGGGAGCTAGCGGCATGGTGATTGAATACTTGACTAGGTGATTCCGTGGAGAACGAAAACGACAAGCTGAAATCTCCAGAGGTGACGGCAGAGAGGCTCAGAGTTGTCAGACGCCGAGGTGACCTGCCACCGAACACCCCTGCCTCCGGCCGACTCCGCCAGCTGAAGGTACCGTCGGAATTTGGGAGTCTTCGAGTGGTGAAGAGGCTCCTGGCTGCCCGCTGAGGCAGTGGTCACCACCTTCGTGGCGAACGCCACAAGCGGTGGAGGCGCTTCAAAAACCAAAAAGTGTGTTGTGGCTACCCGATGATCCTCGCAAGGCTCTCATGCACGCATACACACATCGTTCCATTTCGTTTGCACTGGGAACATGCGAGTTAGTCCATCCTAAACGCATTACTTTTAAGTGTTTTAAGTAGGTTGCACCGTCAAACGAGGAGTAAAAAGTCGAAACTTTAATTTGAAAGTTCCTTTTGCGTCTGGCAAAATTCTTGTTTTGAAATTTATGTCTCACTCAGCTTAATTAATGAAACTGATGGAAGATTCACAGGACAATTAACCAACTAAACATGTCACAACAGTCTACCCTAATACTTGCAAAAAACGTATTTTTTGGCCCGCAGCAATTTGAGTGGAAGCTTCGTCTTTTTTCTGTCAACAAAGCGAAAATGATCCTTCAAATGACAACTAAAATAAGATTGTAAACACAAATTCACCCAAATCGACTATCTTTTCTTGCTTTTCCAAGTCATCTGATTTAACTTAAAGGTGACAGGTTATAATTACCCGTACAGTGATTCGTCAAACACCGATGTTTTGTTTGTTTGTTGCATTTTCGAAAATACCCGCTTTTTGATCTTTGGAGGTGAGATCTCAACCAGTCACGTGACGCCGTGTACATAAGCGCCTACACATAAATTTAGCATGTAGTTGCTAACGTGTGAAGAGTGGTACATTAAGACAACACTTGTCGACGTACCATGATGAAAAAACACGCACAGGAATGCGTTACAATTCATAGTTTAATGGCGACGACGAACACAAAGTCGCTTTTTGTGTCACTGACACCGAAAAACTACTTTGCTACCCGCCAACGTGGTTAGTTATCGTGTCTCGGTGCAAATAAAGAGGATTATCGAGGTTATTGGATTCAGCATAAAGTTAAAACGAGTTTTCCCAAGTTTTTATGTCATGCACACAATTTCAAGTCACCCGCGCACTCACCCCATTGGCTCGTCTCCACAACAACATTGGCGCTCATTTCAATTGGTGTCAACGTCGCCTAGGACGTGCCTCATTGGCAGCAGTGCACATGGCACGCTGCCTTTTGGCTGAGGCAGCAAAAAACTTTGGTTGCAGAAGCAGAAACATTTGCTAAAACAAGGCACCAACTATGATTCCAATATATCCTGTTGGCTGACGGTTAACGTATTTTGTGTAATTTTTTTTCAACCAATATTCTGCAAGAGGAGAACATGGCAGATTTTCATGCCCTATCTAGCCGTTAGTAGGCGTGCTTCCAGGCGTCATGCAATTGGTCAGTTTACCGTTGGCACACCACCCATCTTCATGTTCGAACTTACTCTCCGTCCAACTATGGGTTAGATCTGGAAGGCCTGGATAGAGCGGGGACAAAAAAAATGACGAAATAAGTTCTGTTTTTTAAAAAGTTAAACACATTATCTAATCGATTCGATTTGGTGATTCCTATTGGCGGATAAGCAGACACAAAGAATTGAGATGTTCATTGGTTAGTGACGCATGTAAGGCTTTGAAGTGTGCTTACATTGAAAAAACAGCTGTTAGATCGTTGGAATCATGAAACACAAATGAAAGTACTGACTGTTTTATGAAATACTA